GGAAAAACAGCAAAATATTGCCTAATTCGATGATATTTTGTTAATATCACATAAAGGAAAAGGGGATGATAAACGTCAAAATATTGCTGAATTCGATGATTTTAAGTACGAAACAAAATGCAAGAAAACTTGCTTAAATGGCAATATTATGCGAAAATTTGAGATCTGAAGGCCAAATCACATATCGTGATACTACATGAAATAGTATCGAAATATTGGTAAAAACGAATATATATACTTAAAATCACACTACATGAATAACGCGAAAAAATTCACTATATTACCATATTTGAGGATTTTAACTTCAAATCATAGAGCGAGGTTTCGTATTATTTAGATCCAAGAAAAGACATATGACAATCTTGTTTCAAATACAAATGATAAAAATCAATGTGTTTTCATTAGAATTAACTAAAATGTTCCTGATTTTCCGTTTATATTACCGATGGAAGATGTACACGTAAAACCGCTCTAATCCGGCTGAAACGTCGATATATGCAATAAAAACAGAACTTCTCCCCTTTCCAATATCTTACTCAGTATTTTAACGAGAAGCAAATAGTTGATTGAAAATGAAGTGTTTAAGGTTAATGTCTAATCAATTATGTGTTTGCATCATTTTTATCGTATATTTACTCACTCTCCTGAGCCTCTGCATCACTCACTTTAGCCTCTGCATCACTCTTTTGGGCCTCTGCATCACTCTCTTGAGCCTCTGCCTCACACTCTTGAGCCTCTGCATCCCTTTCTTGAGCCTCTGCATCCCTCTCTTGAGCCTCTGAATCACTCTCTTGAGCCTCTGCATCCCTCTCTTAAGCCTGTGCATCACACTCGTAAGCCTATGAATCACTCTCCTGAGAATCTTCATCCCTCTCTTGAGCCTCTGAATCACTCTCTTGTGCCTCTACATCCCTCTCTTAAGCCTGTGCATCACTCTCGTAAGCCTATGAATCACTCTCCTGAGCCTCTACATCCCTCTCTTGAGCCTCTGCATCACTTTCTTAAGCCTCTGCATAACTCTCTTGAGCCTCTGCATCACTCACTTGTGCCTCTGCATCCCTCTCTTGAGCCTCTGCATCACTCTCAAGTGCCTCTACATCTTTCTCTTGTGCCTCTGCATCACTCATATTAGCCTCTGCATCCCTCTCTTGAGCCTCTGCATCACTCTCTTGAGCCTCTGCATCACCCTTTTAAGCCTCTGCATCGCTCTTTTGAGCCTCTGCATCACTTTCGTAAGCCTCTGCATCACTCTCTTAAGCCTCTGCACCACTCTCTTAAGCATCTGAAATACTCTCTTGAGCATTTGCATCACTCTCTTGAGCTCCTGCATCCCTCTCTCAAGCCTCTGCATCACTCTCTTGAGCCTCTGCATCACCCTCTTATGCCTCTGGATTACTCTCTTGAGCCTCTGCATCCCTCTCCAAAGCCTCTGCTTCATTTTCCTAAGCCTCTGCATCACTCTCTTGAACCTCTGCATCCCTCTCTTGAGCCTCTACATTACTCTCTTGAGCCTCTGCATCCCTCTCCTGAGCCTTTGCATCACTCTCTTAAGCCTTTGCATCCCTCTCTTGAGCCTCTGCATCCCTCTCTTGAGCCTCTGCATCCCTCTCTTGAGACTGTTCACCCCTCTCTTGAGCCTCTGCATCCCTCTCTTGAGCCTCTGCATCACCCTCGTAAGCCTCTGAATCACTCACCGAAGCCTCTGCATCACTCTCATGTTCCTCTGCATCACTCTCTTGAGCCTCTGTATCACTCTCTTGAGCCTCTGCATCACTCTCTTAAGCCTCTGCTTCCCTCTCTTGATCCCCTGCATCTCTCTCATGAGCCTCTGCATCACTCTCTTAAGCCTCTGCATCACTCTCGTAAGCCTCTGAATCACTCTCTTGAGCGTGTGCATCACTCTCTTGAGCCCCTGCATTACTCTCTTGAGCCTCTACATCACTCTCTTGAGCCTCTGCATCACCCTTTGAAGCCTCTGCATCCCTCTTTTGAGCCTGTGCATCACTCTCATGTTCCTCTGCATCACTCATATTTTGAGAAGATCACATCACCAGAAGATCACATCTCGAGAAGATCACATCTCGAGAAGATCACATCTCGAGAAGATCACATCTCGAGAAGATCACATCTCGAGAAGATCACATCTCGAGAAGATCACATCTCGAGATGATCACATCTCCGGAAGACCACATCTCCAGAAGATCACATCTCGAGAAGATCAAATCTCGAGATGATCACATCACCAGAAGACCACATCTCGAGAAGATCACATCTCCAGAAGACCAAATCTCGAGAAGATCACATCTCCAAAAGATCACATTCCCAGAAGATCAAATCTCCAGAAGATAACATCTTCAGAAGATCACATCTCGAGATGATCACATCTCCAGAAGACCACATCACCAGGAGATCACATCACCAGAAGATCACATCTCGAGAAGATCACATCACCAGAAGATCACATCTCGGGATGATCATATCTCCAGAAGATCACATCACCAGAAGATCACATCTCGAGAAGACCACATCACCAGAAGATCACATCTCCAGAAAATCACATCTCCAGAAGACCACATCACCAGAAGATCACATCTCCAGAAGATCAAATCTCCAGAAGATCACATCTCCAGAAGACCACATCACCAGAAGATCACATCTCCAGAAGATCACATCTCCAGAAGACCACATGTCCAGAAAATCACATCTCAAGAAGATCACATCTCCAGAAGATAACATCTCCATAAGATCACATCTCGAGAAGATCACATCTCCAGAAGATCACATCTCGAGAAGATCACATCTCTAGAAGATCACATCGCCAGAAGATCACATCACCAGAAGATAACATCTCCAGATGATCACATCTCCAGAAGATCACATCACCAGAAGATCACATCTCGAGGAGATCACATCACCAGAAGATCACATCTCGAGAAGATGACATCTCGAGAAGATCACATCTCCAGAAGATCACATCACAAAAGATCACATCACCAGATGATCACATCTCAAGAAAATCACATCTCCAGATGATCACATCAGCAGAAGATCACATCTCGAGAAGATCACATCTCCAAAAGATCACATCTCGAGAAGATCACATCACTAGAAGATCACATCCCCAGAAGATCACATCTCCATAAGATCACATCTACAGAAGATCACATCTCCAGAAGATCACATCTCGAGAAGATCACATCACCAGAAGATCACATCTCCAGATGATCACATCTCCAGAAGATCACATTTCGAGAAGACCACATCCCCAGAAGATCACATCTCCAGAAGATCACATCTAAAGAAGATCACATCTCCAGGTGATCACATCTCCAGAAGATAACATCTCAAGAAGACCACAGCTCCAAAAGATCACATCTCGAGAAGATCACATCACTAGAAGATCACATCCCCAGAAGATCACATCTCCATAAGATCACATCTACAGAAGATCACATCTCGAGAAGATCACATCTCGAGAAGATCACATCGCCAGAAGATCACATCTCCAGATGATCACATCTCCAGAAGATCACATCTCGAGAAGACCACATCCCCAGAAGATCACATCTCCAGAAGATCACATCTCGAGAAGATGACATCTCCAGATGATCACATCTCCAGAAGATCACATCTCAAGAAGACCACAGCCCCAAAAGATCACATCTCCATAAGATCACATCTACAGAAGATCACATCTCGAGAAGATCACATCTCGAGAAGATCACATCGCCAGAAGATCACATCTCCAGATGATCACATCTCCAGAAGATCACATCTCGAGAAGACCACATCCCCAGAAGATCACATCTCCAGAAGATCACATCTCGAGAAGATGACATCTCCAGATGATCACATCTCCAGAAGATCACATCTCAAGACGACCACAGCCCCAAAAGATCACATCTCGAGAAGATCACATCACTAGAAGATCACATCCCCAGAAGATCACATCTCCATAAGATCACATCTACAGAAGATCACATCTCGAGAAGATCACATCTCGAGAAGATCACATCTCCAGAGGATCACATTTCCTGAAGATCACATCACCAGAAGATCACATCTCCAGAAGATCACATCTCCAGAAGACCACATCACCAGAAGATCACATCTCGAGAAGATCACATCTCGAGAAGATCACATCTCCGGAAGATCACATCTCCAAAAGATCACATCACCAGAAGATCACATCTCTAGAAGATAACATCACAAGAAGATCACATCTCTAGAAGATCACATCTCTAGATGATCACATCAGCAGAAGATCACATCTCGAGAAGATCACATCTCGAGAAGATCACATCTCTAGAAGATCACATCTCGAGATGATCACATCACCAGGAGATCACATCTCCAGATGATCACATCTCCAGAAGATTATAAACATCCCAAATTCGACGCTTGAGCCATATTTTGGAGCCAAATTCTGGCTCTCAGCACGTATTCGCTGTTTGAAATTACGACTTTTTATACCGAAAATACGCCAATTACTGAGAGCTGCGATGGGTCACATTTTGCCCCCTCCCCCTGCAGTTTTCAAAATATCCCAAACATCCCAAATTCGACGCTTGAGCCATATTTTGGAGCCAAATTCTGGCTCTCTGCACGTATTCGCAGTGTGAAATTACGACTTTTTATACAGAAAATATGCCAATTACTGAAAGCGGCGATGGATCACATTTTGTCCAAACCCTTCCTTCAAAATATCCTAAACATCCCAAATTCAACGCTTGAGCCATATTTTGGAGCAAAATTCTGGCTCTCTGCACGTATTCGCTGTTTAAAATTACGACTTTTGATACCGAAAATATGCCAATTACTGAGAGCTGCGATGGGGCACATTTTGCCCAACCCCCACCCCCCTGCAGTTTTCAAAATATCCCAAACATCCCAAATTCGACGCTTGAGCCATATTTTGGAGCCAAATTCTGGCTCTCTGCACGTGTAATATCATTTTCCAGCTTTACATAGAATACTTTGTGTTCTTTATCTATGTTCAG